GAAGCATAATGGAGAATGAGTGAACATACATACATATATCATGCATGTACCAATTTTTTTAATATTTTATTTTATAATTTAAAAAGATAATTGATCTTTTTTATGAAACACAACTACCTATTATTTGACTGTATTTTTAATTATAATTATATTTTAATATAAAATAGTGTGAATTTACCATATTATCCTCATTTAATTAATATTTTCAATTCTTAATGTTTGCTGTATTTTGAATGTTTTATTATTTTCTGTCTTTTGCTATATATATATATATATATAATTTGTATGAATCTTTGCTATTTTTTAATTAAGAATATAGGTCAGAATCCAATTCTCTATCTAGTGTGAATTAAATAAATATTATACAATTTGATCCAAAGAAAGTTGAGGAAAATGTCCGGAAAATAGTTCGGTTCGATTGCAAAATATTTATGTTCTTATTTTATGAAATTGGGCGAAATCTTTTGGTAAAGGTTGGGTCCTAGGAAGGAAGGAAGATAAGTTGGCAGATGAGTTCTCACGTGGAGACCAATAATGCATACATGTGGATATGATATTGGAACGAACGGTGATCGTTTGATGCTCTAGCAGATGATCAAAGAGAACGAACAAATGCCCATTAACTAAACTAATTTGAGATTAATTAATACAAATTATAATTTAAGACCTTTATTACCAAACAAATCTTTGTCGTCATTGTGGTTGAGAAAAAAAAAAGAGGATATTCGATGTCGTTTTTCATAAATAAAAACTCATGTGTGAACGAATTAGATACCAAATTTGCCTCACAATTTATATTATACACTTCTAAATCATTGCAAGGCATCTTCAATATCTGAAATCAAGATCTTGATACGTGGTATTATTTGTCTTTGCATAAGAAAAATTAACATTATTGTGTTAGAAAAGTATGGTGATTATTCGATTGATTATCATTGACCAAGATAGCCACAATCTAGTTGGCCACAATCTAGTTGTTAATTATAATTAGCTAAGGGTCGTTTGGAGTGGTTCTAGAAGGGCTAAAAGCGTTTTTAACAATGTTTGGCAACAAAATTTCAAAAGGCTTTCTGAATAAGCATATGACTCCCAAGTACTTTTTTAGGAAACACTTTGATTTCTTATGAAAACTTCAACATTTCTGTAACAAAAGAGTTTTTTTTTTAAAAACACTTATAAACAAAAATATTTTCTATAAAAATAGTCCCAAACGAGCCCTAAATATAGATTAGTAAAACTACATGGGATGAAGCAACTACTATAATTCCATCGAGCACCACACCTCTCCTTTTTGTATATGATTACTTGTTCAATGGATGGGCTCACACCCAACTTTTATTACATGGTCCTCACTATAAACTATTTAAACATAATTTAATTTGAAGATTTTTTGTCAAACCATAAGCCTCTAAAACATTTACAAACCATGGTGTTTACATAATCTACTCATTATCTTTTTTAATTCTAAAATGGGCTAGTAATTATTAATTACGACCATGCTTTCCAGTTCTGGTATAAAAAAAATTGGTAAACTTGTCTGGAAATGGAAAGCATGGAAAATATGGTTTATTTTATTTTATTTTCATTTTGTATATATTCAGCTAATAGAACCAATTAATATTCTTAGTTCTAGATAATGGGCCATGCCTCAGTTCTGTCAATCCAGGATTTCTGAATGATTAGAACAGCTAAAATGAGAATATTAGTGATCAATCATGTTAATAGTAGCTATTAGTCATAATCAGCAATCAATTTAATTATAGACTTGTCGTCTTAGCCATTTCTATGTCACCACGCGTGGCCTTTGATGCTAAACCATACTTTTTGAGACAATGGCGATAGTATATTATTGAAAAAAAGGATGAGTAATTAGTACCAAAAAAAAAAAGGGGCTATGCCGTCGAGGATTAAGCGAATGTCTTTACTTCAATGGGCTCAATCGTTGATCTAACTAAGTAGTCTTATCATACTAAACCATACTTAAGAAACCGACAGCATCTTAATCAAAACAAATAATTAATTTTTGGATAAAATGCTAAATCCACGTATAAGTTGCCAATAAGATCCATAATTATAACGAGGACAACATCTTAGTTTTCATTCATTCATAATTAGAGCGAGGGCAACGTCCATAGCAATAAATTTTTATATATTTTTCAAAATTATCGAAGTATAAGAGTAGATAATTAACTAACCTTCTAAAATTGAAGGATATCTCAAATTCGATTTTGCTCTCCCCGTTATACGTACAAACTACAATACTTGTTTGGGCCTAAATACAATGTTTTTTATTGCCTGAATATATATTTTTTTCATTTAGTTAATATATACTTTCTTGCCCAAAATGATGAAAATCGAAGACTAAATTCCCCAATAATGGTAAAAACAATAAAGGTTATAAGGATTTTACAGTTTTTCCCATGCAAGCCGAAAAAAAAGAGGAGAAAAAGACAACTTCGTTGTGTACTTGCTTTGAGCCATTTCCCTAAGTCAATTATACCTTAAAACCAACAAAAAATTTATTGAAATCGTTTTACACCAATGCTTCGAATTGAAGTCACTCCTAGAAAACCCCCAAAAAAAAAAAAACTGTAATGAAAATCCAAGGATTTAAGTTTCCATTTGGGTAGATATATCGGCAGTCTAGATTTAGAGTAATAAATATATATTACTAATTGTAGAAAAAAGAAAGTAAATTTAGGTTTTAACAAAAAAAAAAATTAGGTAATGATTTCCCTACTCCAATTTTATTCACTTACACTCAAAGAATATTAATAATAATAAAAAAACTTTGCTTCCTCCTCTTTGGAGAATGGGCAATCCAATTTTACAGATATTTCGGAATTTCATCTTGGTATAATCACATCTCAATTATCAATTCTCCGGTTCTTTCTTTGCTCTCTACTGTTTATACATTTCGATTATGTATGCATTAACAATTGAAAGTTATCTTTTTAAATAAAAAAGATCAACTGTTGAGAGCTATTTACTTAAATAAGAGGGAATGACACAAAATCTGCTAATTTTACTTTTCAGGATATACAGAGTCCGTAGGCAAACTCAGGTACTCAGGTGAGCAGTGCAGGTCATCAGCATCGTCAAAGGCAATTAATTGAGTAAATTAATTAGTCGTATTGATGTTTGCAGGAGGCAGAGACGCAGTAAAATAAATGTTTTCCTTTTGGTCCTAGACTCAGTACATAGGACGGGCGACAATTAGTACCGAGTATTAAAAGGCTCACATTACTATGTTTGTGTCTGTCTTTTTTCCTCTGCCAAGAACATGCAATTGAAGATACACTGATAAGTCATAAGAGATTATTATCCAAACCCTAATCTCTAGTTATTGTGACTGATTTTGTTCCAAATGCTTTAATCCAGTAGATTAATTATCACCTTGGTTATTATGGGAAAGAGGAGAGATTCGAAGAGAAATGAAATTTTTTTGAAGTATCCTCGAATATCATAACGAGTTTTCTTGATATGAAGAGCATAATGAGTTAAACGATGGGCGCATAATTAACTTGATAATGAATATATATAAAAAAAAACAACCATCAAAGTTTCGATGTGGGACTTTGTGCAAACTGTTGTGGAGGCGACACGTGTCCGTGGTCCTTGGTTTTGTAGTTGAGAGCATCGGCATGTGGCTTATCGCTTCAGAAGAGGGTCTTCCTTCAGTAGGTTAAGAAGGTGATGATGTCACTCGCACTCTAAGGGCTTGTTTGTATGTCTTTTGGAGTGTTTCTTTTCCCTTTGGCAGCCGGCGTACTTGTCCAGGTACCAGTTGTCTAATGTCGAATGCACTCGTTTGATTACAGTGTAAACAAAGAGTATAACGAGCTAAACGATAAACGCATAATTAACTTGATAATGACTACATAAAAAAAACAACCATCAATAAAATGATTCAGAAGCTCCTGGCAGTGTCCTCTATAAGCATCCCTATAGTCAAAATAATTTTCTGCTCCTTTGGAGATGTGGGACAACTGCAAATTTACGATACCAATGACAAATGCTATAATAACTAACATTATGTGAACGACTGAGAATAAAATCTTAAGTTCAAATTTCTATGACAAGGAAACAACATTATGTTATTCAAGATTCACAAACTTTGGAATTTTGGTGGGTCTAATCGCTCAAAGAAAATTACTTGTTTATGTTTCAAGCTCTGTTTTTTTTAATTAGGCTTGTAAGACACCAGTGTATTAAAACTAAAAAATAAAAAATAAAAAGCTGTATGTGTCTATTTTCTGACACATGCCATTGTTTGAATGGCTAATTATATCGTGTTAGATTTCGGTACTTTAGGGTATAATATCAATTACATCCACTTATATTATAACAGACGAATTATACTATGTAACTATACTGGAGTACCGCACTTCACCTTCACCAATTTGATTTGGCAAATTAAAAGAACAACTCAAAAGTTCTGCAACAACTGCTATTTATCAAAGGCTAATTAAAAGCTGCTATAATATATAGACCCAAATTCCATCCTACTTGAGAAATTAATGTTTCGATCAAGCACATAATTCAAATTCATTACTTTTCCGTTTCGCTCAAAAGACAACAAAAATAGGGAAGTTTATGTTGATGCTAAAAGATGGAGAGGTGTGAAGGTGAGGACCTTTAATATGTGTGTAAAGATTTGGGCAAGCGATTTACCCTTAATGAATGAGCTACGTCTACGAAGAAGTATATTCTCATTCTCATAATAATGTGTATTTACATTTGTACAAGGAGTTGGATCCAAATATAAAGGGAATAAGGGAGAAGCCTATGACTAAAGATCAAGTTAAGCATAGGGATTCCTTTCTAAGTGGAGAGTTGTCTCTTTTTATAGGTGATAGGGAGTCTTCACTACTTGTAATATTTCAATAAGAAACTCTTTATTAAGAAACTCTTGTTCTTTTTAGAGTTGCTTCTAGTTGCTTAGCTAGATATGGTATAAACAGCTTATAAAAGCAACCTCTTGGCTGCAAAAGCTTTTCATAAAAACCTTTCGCTTAAGAATAAGTAACTTTTAAAAAAAAAACTCTGGAAATCAAAGCTATGCAGCTTTAAGCTTAGCTCCTTTTTTTTCAACAGGTGTAGAGAGCTTCAAAAGGCAGATATCTGTTTTCATTTTTGCATTGCAACAGCTAAGCAGAGTTCCACAGAAACAGAAAGAAAGAAAGAAAGATGGTAGAGAGACAGTCAGCCTCCATGTCTTCTGACTCAGAGGTAATTCTCTGTCTTCTTCCATCAGTCTTAGCTCTGTTCCTCTTCCTCATTCTCATCAGAAGGAAGCAGCAGCAAACACGACTTCATCTCCCACCAGGCAACATGGGGTGGCCTTTTCTTGGTGAAACCCTAGGCTATTTGAAGCCTTACTCTGCTACCTCCACAGGCCAGTTCATGGAGCAACATATCTCAAGGTAAATCGCACAAGACCCACAAAGCACAAAGCCTTGAATTTCATAACCCAGGTTCTGTTTTATGCAGGAAAGACTTGAACTTTCACTTAAAATCTGCAGGTATGGAAAAATCTACAAGTCCAATCTGTTTGGTGAGCCAACCATAGTCTCAGCAGATGCAGGGCTCAACAGGTTCATATTGCAAAATGAAGGGAGATTGTTTGAATGCAGCTACCCAAGAAGCATAGGTGGAATTCTTGGGAAATGGTCTATGTTGGTTTTAGTTGGTGACATGCATAGAGACATGAGGATGATATCTCTCAATTTCTTAAGCCATGCCAGGCTCAGAACCCATTTGATGAGAGAAGTTGAAAAACACACTCTGCTTGTTTTGAGCAGCTGGAAAGAGAATTCTGTTTTTTCAGCTCAAGATGAAGCTAAGAAGGTAAACTATTTTTGTACCCAACAAGAAAAACAAAATTTATGAAATGAATGCTTGCAATTCAAGGGGAAAAAAAATGCAACAGCAGCTTAATTTTGTTATGAAAAAGTGATTGCAGTTCACATTCAATTTGATGGCCAAACATATCATGAGCTTAGATCCTGGAAAACCAGAGACTGAGCAGCTGAAGAAATTGTATGTTACTTTCATGAAAGGTGTGGTCTCTGCTCCAGTCAATTTACCAGGAACAGCTTACCGAAAAGCCTTGCAGGTAATTAGTTAACATTTTTCTACATGGAATTTCATCTGCCAATAAGCTTAAATTTTAATTTCAAAATTTTTAAATGATTTATTTACTCTGCTTCACAGTCAAGATCAACCATTCTGAAGTTTATAGAGAGCAAAATGGAAGAAAGATTAAAGGAGGGAGCAGAAAATATAGATGAAGATGATCTTCTTGGATGGGTTTTGAAGCATTCCAATCTCTCCAAAGAGCAGATTCTTGACTTGATATTGAGCTTGCTCTTTGCTGGCCATGAAACATCCTCAGTGGCCATAGCTTTAGCCATATACTTCTTACCAGGCTGTCCTAATGCAATTCAACAGTTAAGGGTAAGCAAACTTAGATTAATTCCAATCCATCTCCACTTGGGTTTTGATTAGTTTGATTGTTTCTTTAATGGGTCTGGTTTATTATGCAGGAAGAACACACAGAAATTGCCAGAGCCAAGAAACAAGCAGGAGAGACAGAGTTGAATTGGGATGACTACAAGAAAATGGAGTTCACTCAATGTGTAAGCTCTCTTAATCATTGTTAAAGCTTAAATTAAGCTTAATTATCTCATAATTAAAATTTTGCATCTTTTGTTTGTGAAGGTTATCAGTGAGACACTTCGGCTTGGAAATGTAGTGAGGTTTTTACACAGAAAGGCTTTGAAAGATGTTAGGTACAAAGGTAAGACTTTGAGGACAATTTAGTGTAAGAGTTGGAAGTTGTAGCCAAAAAGTCATCTGAAATCTTAGGCTGCTTAGAATTAAAGTTGATTTTTTTTTTCCTTCTTCTTCTTTTTTCTGTTTGGTGTTTGAAACTTGGAAAGGTTATGACATTCCATGTGGATGGAAAGTGCTTCCGGTCATTGCAGCCGTGCATTTGGATCCTTTACTTTTTGACCAGCCTCAACACTTCAATCCATGGAGATGGCAGGTCAGTCTTTTAGCTTTGGCCTTTGGACAGCATGCCTCATAATTATAGTGGTCTTTTTCACATTTTCCTTTAAATAATTGTTTTGTGTCAAGGTTAAATTGAAAAGGGTACCAAGCACATCCCCTTTGGTTGTTCTTGCGGCTCCCACAAAACAGCCGTTGGTTGTTGCTTGTATACCCCACAAAAAAATTTCTTCTTCCTAATCCCACATTTAGTAGATATTTGTGTTATACACTATTTACAATAGTCTCTCGTCCTGTGATTAGAGAGATGATGACAATTGATTATTGTGTTGATATGATATGAATCAAAAACGCATATTCGGATAAAATTCTATTTGATCAATAGTTCCAATTGAGCGTGGATGCGAGGTGCGTCCGTAATAAGATAGTTGCAAAGGCAGATGATATCTCATGGATTTCCCATTCAGATGAAGTGTCTGTATCACTGAAAGGATGGAAGCTTCATACTGTGTACGGACAAACTAGGTCCTCCACCTCTTTATTTCTTGCCCTAGTGTGCGTGTGGGGAGAGACTGGGGGGTTCGAGATTATTAGAGCCCATGTGGATGTGGGGTTGGTCACATGCTGCCATTGCACGTGCACATAAGTGCTTTTTTCTCTAGTGGGTCAAATGCCAAACTGGTCCTGACCATTTTTTATCCTTTTATAACAAAAAGAAGCCCAAAAACTGGTCCAGAAAATCCCAAACGAATAAGGAATAGAAACATAGTTACAAAGGCCATCACAAAAGGTTAAAGAGTGCACCACGGAAACCATACGACATTACAATGATAATTAGTGCGACAGTGACAAAATCAATATGAGAACGCAAGCTTTTGGTGAATTTTATCCTCATAGGGTCAAGATGAAACCCTCAAAATTCTCCCCTTAGGAAAGTTGCCCTCTTTGAGGCATTTTGTCCAACATATTGGTTTGGTGGGGTCAATTGACCTCTCATTTGATCTTTAGTGGATCCGCCACTGAGTAAAAGCCGTATCTTTGATAGAGACGAGACTCACTACTAATAATAAAGTAGGTATTAGAAATGTGATCAGGAAATACATTACAAATAGTAACGTAAGTAGTAATATGCATCCAAGTCTCAATCTTTTATGGGGTGTAAAAGGCCCATTAGTCTCATTATGTAATAGCACTGTATTGGGTAGAAAAGTAGAAAGCTCATATGAGCCCCAAATAATCCAAAACAAAACCAAACCGACGACTTTTGCGTGATTATATTTTTAGCATGACATGCCATTGAAATTTTTTGTTCATTTGTGGTTTTGTTTGAGAGTGTGTGGTGATGATGATGATGATTTGATGCAGCAGAATAACAACAGTGGAGCATCTTCATCATCTTACACGAGCATGACAAGCAGCAACTTTATGCCATTTGGGGGAGGACCACGACTTTGCGCTGGCTCAGAACTGGCCAAACTTGAAATGGCGGTTTTCATCCACCATCTGGTCCTCAACTTCCACTGGGACTTAGAAGACGATTTGGATCAACCTTTTGCCTTCCCTTTTGTCGATTTTCAAAATGGCCTACCAATCACAGCCCGGAGGCACCAAAACCAATCTCATATATAAATCCCAAAATTTAAAACTCCCCATGGAATTATATTTAAAAAAAGCTTCAAATGTGACAGATGACAAAGCTAGCTAGCTCATTGTTTTGAGTTGTTGTAGTTTCCCAACGGCTTAGTCTACTAGGGCAACTTCCTGTGCCTCTGCTTATGTGGTGCTTCACTTAAACAAAGACCTCAACTGATCACCGCCAACCTCTGCATATATGCACCCAATTTAAAAGGAGAAAAAAAAATTATCACATCTTCCTCTCTTTGTAAATTTGATTTTGTCTTAAGGTCCCTTCCTCATTGTTGGGAGACTTGAGGGTAATTATTTATTTTAATGTGATATGGATTCGAACTCGAGTAGTGGGGGAGTACATCCGCTCTAGCCAACTTGACTAAGCTCTTGTATGTATTTTTAACTAGCATTTTAACTTACAACACAAGCAAAAGGCCAAGAAAGGACACAGGTTTAATGAAAGCATCAGAAAGCTTGTGCAGAGACTTAAATGAATAGGCCAAGGGCTCCTTCCCCTTTCTGATCCTTGTTAGTAGGTTTTCTTTCGCTTTCCCGATGTGCAATTGTTTGTTCCTACTTCCTACCATCTACATAAATTCCAATTCATGGGTTTCTGTTTCTTTTTGTTTCTGTCTCTCACTATTGTTGATGATCTCTCTGCGGCCAAGGAAGCTGCACGTTAGGGTTCTAAGAAATGTGGACCTTAATTACCCGCTTAAAGCTTATGGTTGCAAGAAACGTCGCCGTTAATTACCAGCTTATGACTTTCCTATTATTATGAAATTGAAACTAAGCTAAAATTTGGGTTCAGCCCCAGGGCTATAAACCCTGTTCTCAGCCCAGCTCAACCACAGAGTTGGATAAACCAAATCCAATGGAGGCCGATGTGTGATGGGTTCTTATTAAGACCATTTGATGCGTTCTCCCATCCAATTTTTCACAACAGGATGCAAAGTTCTAGAATTGGCGCAAAACTGTGTATAATTAGTTAGCATTAAACTTGGACTGGATCATTCATGTTTTTCTCCATACAGGCCTTTTCACACCGACTTGACTATAATAGGCCGATTCACTATTGTGGCTAACTGGCATAACTCACCTTTACATTCTCATTTCAACTTTAAAATAGGAATGTTAAATACATGCTTGCACATAAGATTTAAAGAAAGATACTAAATGTGAAGTCTACCATGTATCAATTGCCATCGATCTCAAATGGCGACAAAAATACTCTCTCATCACATCAGAAATGTAGATTAGTGATTATTATAACTTTCTGTTTCAACACAACACAATTGTTATGAGATTTAGGGTTCGTTTAGGAGTAATTCTGGATATGTTATAATCATTTATAGAAAGAAGCATCTTTACATGTGCTTCTCCATATAATCATTTTTAGTGATTTTAAGTGATTTTGAGGAGAAGTACTCCTCCATAAAAATGATTATTGACCTATCCAGAATCACTCTTAAACAAGACCTTAAGTTATTTCATCTTCTAACAAAATTGAGATGAAATGCCCTTGGACTAAATTTGTATTTGAGCAGTCGTACATGGAACAAATGCCGTGTCCCTCAATCAAATACAATACAATACTTTCCAGTTTTGCAATTCAAATCAAAATTGATATGGAGTTCTTGAGCTAATGGTGGATTAAATGCCACGTGGTCTGTCTTCATTATGTCCATCGTGGCTTAAAGAGCACCAGCCCATGCATACTTGCCCTTCCCCTACCAAACCAAACCAAACCTCCAAAATATTATTAGTTGGTTTGGGTTGGGTTTTGATCACCATGTATGTTCTTCGACGTAAAAGTCCTAAAAAGAAACTTTATGCCTTGGAGGAGGACCGTTCTGATTGGAATATTATCCATTCACGCTAATAAGAAGAAGACCAGTCTATTCTAAACCGACTAATAAAATTAAACAAGAGAAAAAGTGATCAACATGAGGTTTTTGTAAACGAAGCGTGTTGAAATCCCAATCGCAAATGAAAATGATTTACTAAACTTGATGTTACAAAATATACAACATTTGGATTAAATTTGGAACATTGGTAAAACTTTAAACAGGACTTGATTCGTATTTGCTTTGATCCACTTAAAATGAATGCAATCTATGTTAATTAGTCTTTGATTTGGCTGTAATTCTCTTGTTAAGACCTCTTGAATTCGAATTTTCATTCCTTCAATGATAAGTAACATTGTCACTAATTATTACGCTTGTAATCACCATCATATGCTTATGGTATATGAACATGGGAGAGAATAAGGGTATCATAGGAATATGGGGATTTGAGTGTATATGTATTGCTAATCGACCGAGCTCAGTATTCGTGTGGAGAACATAATACGGTCTTTATATAATAAGTTGATGTTTTTGACACGATATGATAAACATTATTCATACTTGACACAAATACTTAATTAGTTTGATTGACCATTACTTAACCCAAACACGATTCGTGGATATGACACAAGCCACCAATGCAAATATTAAACATGTCGGTTTAGTATCAAACATTGTAAAACATGCTTTGCTTAAATATTATTCGAAGAAAATAATGATTGAATAGTTACCGAGTTTTTTATTTGTTAGTATGATTTTATGGGGGTAGGTTTGGTCTAAAAACAAAAGTCACCCACCAAAATTACTGAATTCTCCCCTTGGGTAGTAGCAAACAGTGAGCACACAAGCGAGACTGGTTGGTAAAAACAACAAGGCTGAAATGGTCTTTGGAAGCACTAGCTTTTATCCTGGTGGCGATTCAGTAAATTCGGAAGACTTTATAACCGTAAAATTCCATTTGCTAATCAAAAGCTGCTGATGCCCACACCTGTACTGTTGTATTTTATTTGCCATTTCTCCTCCACTGCTGCGACGCCGAGAAGAGAAAAAAACAAAGGCAGAATAGAAGAGCCTCCAATCCACTGAGATACAGAGCGGGACAGAGATAAACCGGAAACCAAACACCACCCCAGAGCTTGAGCTACAGCTGCAGCGAGATGTGGCGGTGCGTTTCTCGTCGACTTGGCGTTCCTTATTCCCAGAGATCCGTCTCCAGTGACTCTCTTAGATCTCACTTCTCGAGGCTCTTCTCCACTGAATCCGTACGCGCACTCTCTCAATCTTTGGGTTTTTTTTCTTCTCAATCTTCTTCGTCTTGTTCTTGATCATTGATTTCATTTCATCTGCGTAGCTTCATTGGAAATGATACGCAACTGTGTATCCATTAATTGATTTTTGGTTTTATGGATGATTTTGTTGAGTTTTGATCGGATTCTAGCCCATTTTTGTCATTATTTTGATTATGTATGGTACAATAGTTGAGCTTTTGATTTCTATTCAGTTTGGTTGCCGATAATTAGCAGGAAAGTAAGGGAATCTAAGCTTATAAGTTTCTGATTCTCCATTTTATTGATTTTGAAACGGCATCAATCCACTCAAACGAGCTCATTGCTGCTAATTGGCTAAGCTATTTTTGGGGGGGTTAAAGTTGAATTCAGTTATTCGTTTTGTTGACATTTAAGTATTCAAACACTCTATTAATGCAGTTCATTATTCTTTAATGTACGTGCAAAGTTTAGTTCTTTAGCTTGTGATCGATTGTATTTGGTAATAGTATATGTCTTTTTTGCTTTGGCAGGCTACAGGGCGCTCTTCGTACACTGTGGTGGACCACACTTATGATGCAGTGGTTGTCGGGGCTGGTGGTGCAGGGCTTAGAGCAGCCATAGGACTTTCAGAGCATGGATTTAATACCGCTTGCATTACGAAGCTTTTCCCAACTCGTTCACATACTGTTGCAGCCCAGGTGTGTGATATTGTAATTTAATCTGACTATTGCATATAGCTTCACCGAGTTAATGTGACTATGTAAATTCCATAGTTTTGGTTTGGATATGGTTTACTCATGCGTTGAGTTGTCTGTAGGGTGGCATAAATGCTGCATTAGGGAATATGACAGAGGATGACTGGAGATGGCACATGTATGACACAGTCAAGGGAAGCGATTGGCTGGGTATGTTACTTGTTAAACATGACACATGTGTGGTTTTCATTTCATGTCGGGGATGGGGTGTTATACAGGAAACACTTGCTTTTATGGATTGTATTTTAACTGTACAAAGATTTCCTAGGCACTTATTATACTTGCACCCCAACGTGCACATGCAGACAGACAAACACACACTTTGTGATTTTATCTCTACTTTTACAGTTGTTCTTTTGGTTGTATTTTGACATGTGAGCCTTTTGTGTTCCTATAGGTGATCAAGATGCCATCCAGTATATGTGCAGGGAGGCTCCAAAAGCTGTGATTGAACTTGAAAATTATGGATTGCCATTTTCTCGAACTGAAGATGGAAGAATATATCAGCGTGCATTTGGTGGCCAAAGCCTTGACTTCGGAAAAGGTAAGATGATGCATCCATGCAGGTTTGAACTTTGAAGATCGCATGCCTATCTCATGATTTCTGTTTAAAGCTGTCTGACATTGGCTTTGTGTACTTTATCTTGTTACCTTATAGGTGGACAGGCATACCGCTGTGCTTGTGCTGCTGACAGAACTGGTCATGCTCTATTACATACTCTTTATGGACAAGCTATGAAGCATAATACACAATTTTTTGTCGAATATTTTGCTTTGGATCTTCTAATGAACAGTGATGGTAAGTTGATGCGTAACAGATAGGCACTTTCTTCGAAGAAAAAATAAATAGAAATGTACAAGTTGTAATCACTATGTGGCTATGTTTGGACTATTGGAAGATGCAACCCTTTATACAAACCAGAAGCATATCAGAAGTGATTAATCATATTCAAACTTGCCTTGCAAGAGAAGAAAGTTGTGACATGTTACTTGTGGAATGAAGCTAGTTTCATCACATGTTCTCATAAATAAAAGTCGGCAACTTTTAGTGTCTTAGTTAAGATGTGGTATTGTGACATAGTTAAGATGAGGTCCATATTTCAGCTGCTTATATGTTGATGCTTTGGTATATTGAGTCATTGACCATTGTGTTCTTTTCATCTCTTCCCTGGATTGCTTGCATGTTGAACATCTTGTTCTGAGATGTTCAATTGTGTCCACTTTAAAGATTTACTATTTTCTTGATAGCAATGCACATATGAAAATACGATATAAAGAATTGTTTTTTGTATATCAAGAGTGCTTTTCATTAAGTTGATTGTTGATTCATATTGTAATTCAGGGAGCTGCCAAGGAGTTATTGCATTAAATATGGAGGACGGGACTTTGCATCGGTTCCAAGCAGCGTCAACAATTTTGGCCACGGGGGTATTTTTTATGTTTTCTATTTCCTTTGTTGGAGTTATGTCATTGAAGTTCATCTTATTCCAATTAAGCAATAATATCTAAATCCATATTTTGTGTTTCTGGCAGGGTTATGGTAGAGCATATTTCTCTGCAACCTCAGCTCATACCTGCACTGGAGATGGTAATGCCATGGTCGCACGTGCTGGACTCCCTCTTCAGGTTTTTTAATCTTTCCCAATCTTG